TCAGTAAAACTAGTATATATCAAAACGGCTTGCCATAGGCTGCTGTGGCCACGATAACGGGATGATTTCTTGACTGGTAGTAGATCAATTAATCTATTTAGGTTAAATCTTAAGTAATTCCTTTTCCCCGCTGGAATTAATGAATCTATTTTCACATATTATTTATATGTGTAATCTGAAAATAATCTCAGAAGTTTGTCATGTTCTGTAAATATAACTAATTAAAAATAAAATGATCCACATCTCGCTCATATTAAACAAACCAAAAACCAGTAATCTCCTATCCTGTCACTGAGTTGTAGAATCCTCTCCCTATAAATACTTAATTCTTTGTGAATTAACTCCGATCATTCTTTAATAAGATCCTCCTCAAACGGACACAAAATGTTTGTTTTTAAAAGCTAATCTGTCTAACGGACCTAGTGAATGATTCATTCTTGTTTTTTTTATGCACAAAATTGGCTGTAAGGAGAGCAGAGCCAGAGGACTCAGAGTTTACTGAGGAAAACCTGCTGCTGACCAGGTTAGCTCTGAGAGGATGTTACTATGGCAACAGAGGATGAGGAAAAAAAGTCAGAGTTTCCCTGATTTCAGGTTGAAATAACGTAGAGTTTTCAGTAAACCTGCTTCTTGAAACGGAGCCCTGAGGAGCTCCTAATAGACCTGCAGGAGATCCAGAACCATCGGCTGACTTCAAGTTGGAGTCAAAGGGAAAGATCCAGAGCAGGAAACAAGTCAACAGGTCTGGAGGAAAACCTGAAACCATTTAGCTTCAAAAAAACCAAACAAGATCTTCAAAGACCTTGAAACCACATAAAAATTCAAACGTTCATAAGAGGCAACAAACCCTTTAGAAACCGTTAGCTCCTGGCCCATAGATGGCGCTAAGCTAACCTTGGTTTGGACCAATGAATTGTTCTCGTAGACGTTACCAAGGATGGAAGGCCTCACAGCCAAAGGAGAACAACAACAGGTCATCATCCAGGTCACAGGTCCCTGCCTGGTACAGCAACAGCCCAGCTGCTGGTAGCAGGATCTACAGCCTGACAGGCAGAGAGGCTTCACCCCTACGGACACAATCAGCCTGCTGCTCCTGGTTCCAACAAACACCCGCTTCAAACTCCACTCTAGACTTGTTAAGCGGTGGACTTCATCAACCTGGAAGGAGAGAAGCTGAGACCAGAGCTGAGTAATAATCCCAGATCTACTGAGGCCACCAGAGCCTCCAGAGATGACGAGAACATTCCTGGAGGACAGGTCCACTACATGTGATGAGTGAAGCTTTAGGTGAGATCAGCCCGTTACAGAGAGAAGACATTTAAAGATCAGAGAGAATGTGGAAGAATCAGCCTAGAATATCTGCTGGAAGGCCCTAATCCAGCCCAACACACAAACACCAGAAAAAAGGGAAATAAAGTTAGTAGTCAAATTCCCCAAGGACGTCTTTGCTTCTACAAGGTCGACCAATTGTCCCTTTTCTTCCCTTCTCTTGTTTGTTTTCCTGATGTTCATCTGATGATCATCAGGTAGAAACTGCCTGGCCCAAAAAGTCACAGCCTGGATTCTGTCCTTAGAGCAGAGGTCTGTAGACCACAGCAGACCATGAGATGATGCAGGAAGCATCTCTGGAGGCGGCCGCTCCCACAGAGCTGCAGCTTAGAAGCTCAAACTCTTCAGTCACTGCTTCAATGACGTCAGTCTACATGTGAACGCTGGGATGGCCAGGACCAGCATCTCCTGAGGAGACAGGAGGCCCCACCAGAAGGTCAACAGCGTGATAGGAGACTCCTCTGGTTTATAAGCCCGCCTCCTATCCTCATCCTCCCTCTAGAAGGCCCCTGAAGGCTGCCTTCTGTCTCCATCCTGTGTTTCAGGGTGCTGCCAGCGGGGGCGCCACGCCCCACGCTGGTTCAGTCAGCCCAGAAAACTCTAAGCTTTATTAACTTCCTACTTCCTGTCTGTCAGAGAGCTGGCTGAACCCATCAGGTCCAGGAGGATCTCCTCCTCTTCCTCATCCAGCATCAGGCCAAAGATCAGGCTTTTAGTTTACTACTAATGATGCTAACTGGCGCTATATAAATAAACTGAATTGAATTGAATTAATTATGGATAAATTAATGACTAACTGATCCAATAACCAATGATTGATAAGCAGCCATTTTCCCTCAAACCAGACCTTTCTCTCTAATCTTTCCAGAACATTAAAGGTTTTAAAGATAAAACTATGTTAATATGGAGGCAGCTGACTGCCTCCATATTAAACTGTCCTGATTTCCACTGAACAGAGACGTAGATCTATCATTAATAGACAGGGTATGTCGCTGCGATATGCTGGCAGTGTGAAGTGGACGCTAACTGTGAGCTAGCTCTCTGTTCCATCAGTCATTTCTTGGTTCTGGTTCCTCTCAGAGGAAGGAAGGCTGGAACTGGAGCTTCTCTCTCCTGGGCTAACTGCTAGCATACAATGTTAGCTCCTCTCTGCTGCGTGGCTAAACGGGTCAGAACTGATCTGTGTTTCTATTAACCAACAGGACAGAGGATCTGGACCCATTTATACTGCTACAGGGTCGCCCTCTGGTGGATGCTAACAGAAACTCCTCCTCAGATGAACCAATAATCAGATGGATCCAATAAGAATCAACCAATGACATCCAGAGAATAATCTGTTTAGATCCTAATCAGAGCTTCAGAATAAGCTGGTTTATCAATCTGAAGCTTTCATCTCTGTCCCTCCTTCTGTTGCATCTTCACTGCATGAGGCTGAAGAACCCAGTCTGACCTAAACCATCTGAAAACGCACTTTATTCATCAACAACATCTGCAGGTATTAAAGCAATACTAGTTCAATAAAGGCTGATATTCTGATCGTCATGATGGAATGTGATGAACCGATGGGATTTAGGGTTGCTAGGCAACGTTCACAGGGAAAATCTAGAAGTAATCCAGATGTTTGGCTACTTTGAAAGCAAACCTTTATCACAGGCAGCCCAGTGATTGGATCTGGAGCGATGGGATAAAAAGTCTGGGCTTAATGACCTATTTGATAAATGGAAGGAAAACATGGGAAAATGCTGAGGACTTGGATAAACGGCTGGATCTGCAGCTAAAACACTGGATGAATCCAGCCCCTCAGCAGCGGCCCACATTTAAAGGAGAGGCCCCTTGGCGTGTGACTTTTTGAGCCAGGCAGAGTCTGTTCCACAGATTAAGGCCTGATGCTGCAGAAAAACTCAATGAATATATGAGCAATTGGTGTCTGTAAAAAACGTCTCTTGGCTGTTTGCTACTAACCTTTCAAGTTAGGCTTGGATTTGTCAGTTTGCTTGCCTGTGGGGGTTTGCGCCTGCTGGCCTTGTCCCCCTGAAGAGGCCCCTTGCTGTGCAGCTTTCTGTTTCAGCATGGTCCAGTCAAACGTGTAGTCGTACTGGTGGTTCAGAGTCCTGCAGAGAGAAAACATCAGGTTACCCTCATTACCTGGAACACCTTCTAGCTGCTCTAGAATCCAGCTTAGATGATCTTAGCCTTGAGCTAAAGGAACCATCGGCGGATCCTCTGATAGGCCACGGGCTTAAAATGGTCCTCGGTTGGAGCCAAGGGACCCAAAGGTGGGTGGCGCGGTCTGACCATCAGCAGGTAGTCTGCACTAACGCCAAGGAAAGCTGGCTGAGGGCCCATTAGAGCAGGTTGGAGCGCAGCAGCTGCTCGTTCAGGTGGAGCATGGCGACCGTGGGTGTAGCGTTACCTTCCTGTTAGGATTTACCTGAAGAGGATGCGGAACAGCTGGCGCAGGTACATGTAGTCTGGAGCCTCTTCGAAGCGCAGCCCGCGGCAGTAGTTCAGGTACATGGCAAACTCTGCTGGGAAACCCTGCAGACACAGTTAGGGAGGGAGGGGGTCAGAACAACGGCCTCTAGGATTATTCACACTGATGGACGGTTCCTCACTCCGGAACCTCCTAGAGGAACCAAAACCCAGAACCCTGGACGGTTCCTCGCTCTGGAACGTCCTAGAGCAGGGGAGTCAAAGTGGTTCCAGAAAGGGCCGTGTGGCTGCAGGTTTTCTTTCCAACCAAGCAATAGCATCAGACTCGTCATCTCATCAAGGGAGTCCAATCTGAACATGATGACTCCAGCCACACATTCCTTTTTGGAACCACTTTGACACCTGTGTCCTAGAGTAACCAAAACCCAGAACCCTGGACGGTTCCTGGCTCCGGAACCTCCTAGAG